AATATTACATTAAAGTTAAATCAGTCTTCTCCAAAATTACATTTATGATAGGATTGTCGTTAAGGTGAATAGATATTTACTATTGCAACATACGTTTCTTATTCTATAATGATTAGATTTTGATACTACCAGTAAATCTGGAATAAGAGCCCCACTTGTTCATTGGCCGCTTGTAACCAACAGACACTTAATTCATGCTTACTTGCGAATATCACAAGTGCCAATTAACACTAACCATTTTTTGCTACTAACCAAGTTTTACCCCTTTCCTTATATACAAGTCACAAGGATCATTAGGTGCAAGCGCAATGCTGTAGGTGAAAATGAAAAGGGTTGGTGAGCTAAAAGTAGGTTGAGTATCAAAATAAGGTAGTTTTAAATATATTATCAAATTTTTAGTTTGTAATCTGGGTGTCGAGACAACTAGATAACGAGATAACAACAACGAGATAAAACTTTGTTTCATCGGAAATCCTACTACAGAATATGATACAGGAAAATGCCAGGCCTTTCTTGAAAATAAAATCTTGCCCGTGACGCAAGAGCACTCGTGGCGTAGTGATTAAGGTGTCGAGATTATACGCTGTACTGTCATTGTTCCAGTTTGGCTGGGGGTGCTGATGAAACCTAAGCAAGGTCGATACTGCAGTCTAGTCTGGATGAGAACACCTTGTGGAAGCAAGGAATGTGAAACTTAATGGAAACGTATGGTTTACTCATATCATTGTGTTAAAATTCAACTACAATTCCTTCATCATCTTAAGCGAAATAGAGTGAACACATAATAGTAAAATATTAATAAACTTAGAAAAATTTGCATTACACATTTCATATGATAAAGCAAAATATGATACCTGATGTATATCAACATACATTTTGAATGAAATTAGACTCACTTTTCTGCTAAGCCTCATAAATGAAGAATGTGACTCGTATAATGGAAATGGCCGGGTGTAGATAGTATCAACAACGGTGGGCGATTTGGCTCGGCCCATAAATCCTGACTTCCCAAAAGCTGAGTAGCCTTGAACCTGTCCCTGGCCTAAATTAGAAGGCCGCGAAAAATGGCCAAGTGCGCCACCAGAAGCGATGCTGGGAATCGAATCTAGCAGCTCACAGCACATTAGCATGTCACGAGAATCAGAAGTGCGTGGCCAGAATGAAACAGCCTCATTACGAGGCACGAGAAGCCGATCAAGCTGAGCTGGAGGCGGTGGAAAGCCATACATCCATTCATCCTTAATACTGGATGAAAGCAAAGGGCGGGCATCTGGGGCGTTTGTAACATTGTCAGAAATAGGAGCAGCTGTGCGAGAGCATCTTGGAGAACCCTTGGAGTCATACACATCAGTTCCAGATACAGCGTCCTGGGAATGATCTAGGCGGGTAGTGGAGTTAGAACGAGGTGCGCCAGCATAGGAAGTAAAATTGAGCGAGGCCGGAATGCTGGCAGAACATCGAATATCAGAGCGAACGAGATCGAGTATCTCAATGCAGTAGATGTCAAACTGAATAAAAAAGTAATATACAAACAGTTATGCGTATGAGTTTGAGATATAATAAACTGAAAATCTAAATTAACTTAAAAATAATATCAATGCTTAAAAAGTAACGGTAAACTGGCAATGCTTATTCGATAAATAGAGATTTTCAAAGCCAAGACGATGCGACCAACTGGCATCACTGACCATCAAAATATATGGATCAGAGAATAGTTAATGGTCCGATACTGGAAATCACGAATACTATGACATAGGACGTAAGACTAGATAAGTTCCACAAAGTCTCCCTGTCGCTTGGACCAAGTTGGGAAAACGAGATCAAACCAGCACTATACATATAAGGGAGACTGCAACCAAATATTCTCCCTATGTATGGGTTCTGGGTCGGCCAAGATTATTAGGATGATTTTAAGCACCCAAACATAAGGACAATATAACCAAGATATATATAGAATTGAACAGAAATGATAAAATAGTCCTACAAGCAGACAAAGGTGCCACAGTGGTGATGGACAAGAAGGAATATAGATATAAGAGAATGTTGATGCACCAAGGAGAAAATTGTCAATTAGTCTAATTGTTTATCATTAATAATAAAATGCCTTCTAATTATCTGAGTTATCACAGAAAGTTCATCATCCCAACCAGTATCACGCAATCTTAGTGATGTGTCTCGCTGAGGTAAGATAGTAATTAATTGCTGATGACGTAGTACAAAACAAAAATAGTGGGATATGGTAA